TTTCTATCCACGGGTCTCAAGTCAGTTACCAATACGTGTGATCATATTCTTTGTTTCACCATCATTATCGCTCCCATTTCAGAACGATGACTGACATTTGCATTATGTGATGTTGTTTGCAAATATTGATTTTCAATGAGCGTGCGAACTGACTTATTTAGTGGCAGTATACAAAAGGTAGATTTCTCGAATGACATGATGTTTTGAAGCACAAACGATAGTAGGATGAAGTAAAGAAGTTTCTTCTTTATGATTTCCTCTGGGGACTTCAATAATCTTTACTTTTTCCCGGCAGAAGTCCAACTCACGAAATATTGTTTGCCGTCCGGAACATCAGAAACCATTCGAAGCTTTAATCCTGTTGTAAACAGATTTTGAGGAGATCATTTTAAGCACCGTCGGCGATAATCACTACGTATGCTCTATCTTGACTATTCTAAATTCACTGTTCTTTTCGACTGCGTAGCTTGTATGCTGTTGGATATTTCCATCAATGGACATACTGTCAGTCATAGCCCACATACTCTCTGTCAAACATAGAAAATGTAGTTGCGGATAAGTCCTTCAAAACTGGCGTTTTATAGCCTCAGTTGAAATTTCATTCTACTACTCCTAGTTTCCACATTCGACACCCCGCAAAGTCCCGCCACTGAGGCTACCGGTAAGCACCACTTAGTCACGGAACCACGATGATGGTGGTCCTTGCAGATTCTCACTGCATTTAGTTCACTATGAAACCTTTCTTCACAGCCTGACGATCAGAAATGTGATGTACCTGATATTCAGCTACTTATGATTTCTGTGCTGAGCATCCAAACGAGTGGTCAGCCAACGGAGGGCAGTCGAGCGACGATTTATGGAGGCATACTGTGTTATTCGAGTTCTTGAAGTAATACCATTTAAAAGATGTGCTGTGACAAGGACGTGTTTCTATGAGAAAACAGAATGTGCATACTTGAGTGGTAATGGAATGGCACATGTGGTTGGTCTTCCTTAGTGTTATTACCAAGGCGGGATGGCCGAATAGTTGGAGCATAAATCTACTAACCGGAAGTTTAGTGGTTCGAACCCGATCTCCGCCTCTCGACTTCCCCTCACTTGGGCGACCTAGCAGTATCCCAGCCCTCGTGCTTCCTTTGGGTGGCGTGGCAAGTAGGCGCTGGAACGATGTTACACATCTGAACGATTGTTATTATTACCATCGATTTTGCAGCTGATTAAAGTACCGATTGAGCAACAAGACAGCCATATTAACGAATGTGTGATTGGACTGTAGTAAGGAACGATTTCACCAAACCACACCAGAGTTCAGGGCATGAAGCCTTGAAGCACTATCTACGAGCAGACTCCGTCACGAAGAGACTGGACCTTACCGTGGTGTGACGGTTTGCGCACCTCAGCGATCCATTGAGCTATACTGGAGAGTGTCCCGCGACACTCACAGAGTCTCTCACACCAGGTT